GAAAGAACTTTCTGTGTTAGCGGGTCTGATTGTGTTTGGAAAGCCAGCCTCCAGGTATCCGTAGCAGAGCTCAAAGTGTTTTCAACACAAAGCGCAACAATGCCGTATGGAAAATGCGTTCAACACCTTCATGTCTGAAAGAACTTTCTNGTATCCGTAGCAGAGCTCAAAGTGTTTTCAACACAAAGCGCAACAATGCCGTATGGAAAATGCGTTCAACACCTTCATGTCTGAAAGAACTTTCTCGGTTAGCGGGTCTGATTGAGTTTGGGAAGCCAGCCTCCACGTCTCCGTAGCCGAGCTCCAATTGTTCTCTAGACAAAGCGCCACAATGCCGTATGGAAAATGCGTTCAACACATCCGTGTCTGAAAGAGCTTTCTCGAAGGGACAGTTCTTCATCGAGACAATAATTAATTTGTATCACGACATCGAGTCGGGTTTGGTAGAACAATTTCACGTCTGAAAAGGTTCGACTTAAGCTTAGCATATATATAGTGCCACTGATAATAAAATTTCAATTGTGTCTCTGAATGTCATTAAGGGACTGTTACACTGATACATAAATTTCTTTGTCACAATTGTGTCTCATTGATAAAAACCATCTGGAAAGAGTTAGAATCGTTTTAAACATATCTTGTCCATGGTGATCTAACGATGATATTTTGAATTATATAACCATGATAATTATACCATTAAGTGTTTCTATATTTTAACAGTACCATTTATCAAAAAATAAATATACTCGACAAACTATAACAATTTAATGCAGCGAATCGGTTTTGATTCTCTAACGGAAAAGCGATAAATCAATTTGTTGGGTCTGTTGGACATTAGGTTTGGTCGGACGTTCGTCACGTACTAAAACGGGGCTCATAATRTGTACTACTGCGTACTGACGAAAATAGGGTTTCTGGAATGCATATGAAAAATCCACGTTCCCTTTATGTTCACGCATAAAATTATTTGGTGACTCGTTCGAAGGCACTACGTYCGAGCACTAATGTTCCAAAAAAAACAGTTTGCAAAAAGTATCAGCATATATGAACAGGTACAAGTAACAGAATTGACCACGCCATAAAAGAAAAAAGAGGACCACAAGCTACCTGGTACCCCCCGTTTATCAAGAAGAATGCCCGACTATCCGAAGGACTCTCCCAGCGAGAACGCCCTTTACGTCTTCAACCGGCTGGTACGGATGTCGACGGAAGACGACTTGTCGACCTGGAAACAGAACCAGGTCCGAAACTTTCTGCGCCATGATCAAGTCGACGAAATTTTAGAGCTCTCGGACGATTTCGGCAGGACGATCCTGGACAATGCCTGCATCTCCGGCAACCTTCGATTCGTCCAGCTCCTGCTGCCCAAGAACGCGAAGATGCACAAGGCCCGGGTAACCATGGCCCTCGTCTGTGCCCACATACACGTCCTCGACTACCTACTGACCGAGAAGCCCGAATACGCCGAAACGGAGGTAGTCTACGGTGTGGACATCACCGAAACGATGCCCCTTCTGAACTACTGTGCAAAGATTGGCAACGAACGTGCCCTTTCCGTGATACTGAGGCACGCGTACCAGAGCCCGGAGTCCATCGTCACGTCCCTCGACAAGGCCGGGAACACACCCCTCCATAACGCTCGAAAGGAAGAGGTGGCAGCGATGCTSYTGAAACGGGCCGGCGACTTGTCGGTGCTGAAGGTCACCAACAAGCGGGGACAGGTGCCGATCCAGGCCGTCATGGAGCGCTTCAACACCGTCCAGCAGAGCATCAAGTACGGGAACAACTCGGACCAATTCCAGATCGATTCAGCCCTCCTGGAGAAGACCATTATCTTTTACCAGAGCATCATGAAGCGCAACAACAACGCAAGCGATACTGCTCAGCCGTCCGGACGCGTTAACTTCGACGCTGATGGAAGAGGTAGACAGGTGGCGGCCGAAACCATGCAGTCTATACTCCAGAGGCGCTACAACCAAATCCTCCCCCCACGCCGAAACAACATGAATTTGTCGAATCCGTATTCGGAACAGCACTTTCTTTCTGCTGTTGCCGCGAGGAAGAGGGCCATGCAGCAGCAGCARCAACGGGATAGACGATTCCCGCGAAACATGATGGGGAGAGGAAGCACACCATCGATGCAGCAACAGCAACAATTCCTCCACGAAACACCCTTTAACCAATCGTACTCAATGGGAGAAGGCGCCTGCATGGATAACTACAAGAAAAAGATGGCTACCATGAACCGACAAGAGCGGATAAAAGATACAGCCATCGCACTGACCGAATATGCCAGGGAATGGGATCCCATTCGYGAACAACAACAGCATCAACAGCAACAGCAAGATTTCTTTTCGGAGATGAAAATGGGAAACCTCCCCTTCCCGTTCAAGAGCCACGGAGGTGGATCGTCTGTGACGAGATCCRCAGGCCGGGGCCATCCCATTCCGCACCAGCTGTCGTCTCGGGGGCCTGCGATTCCCGCTGAGAGTTTCAGGATGGCACGGGGCGGCATGCGCCCCGCGTCGCCGCTCCCCCCGAGCATCATCCAGGGCGTCCTGGACCGGCATTCCCCCGTGGAGGCAGGGGACAGTATGCCCACCTCACCCACCACGACAAAACAGACCAGAGTAAACCAACGACTGAGGGAACAACACCAGCTGCAGCGGCGGCAGTTTTCACCGCGCTAGTGGACGACGAAGAACAATTGCCTACTASTGCTACACCACTTYTGGGACAGGGACAGGGAGGTGTGTTCCGGATCGATGGAACGATCTGTTGCTTCGGAACATGCCTATTAGATGGRAGACACAAACGAAGTCACGAACCATATTGGGGAATGCGATGACTACTAGCTTGTGTCACTACTCGTAATTCATTGTGAGTGAAGCGTCTTCATTTTAAACAAAGTAATGTACATTATATATTTCTTATGAGATTTTTTATATTAAATGCCATGGTATTGGAGAGGGTATGAAAGATTCTATGTATTATCGAATCGCTTTTCGYATTTGTACCATACTTCACCATACTAGAACAACTTGTATTGTACAGGAGAAATCTTGCAGTAAAGGTGATACTAGTGTTACCTCAATTTACTCTTCCGATCACTAGCATTCTTCTTTGTACACCTGTTGAAATATCTTGATAGCTGTTTTAATTTATCATCATCTTCTTTTGTGAAGATTAACTTTTTCCCATTGCGTGTTGCCAAATGTTGCCACCTGGAAAATTTAGGATTTTTTTCTCTGCTACTACTACTACTACTACTACACTACTACTACTCTACTTATCACACCCCTCTCATCACTAGTATAAACAATATTATTAGAATATATTCTTACAAATATAAATATGTTCATTTATAACACATCACTACACTTGATGGTTGAAGTTACTCCAATGCTCTTTACATACAGCAACATTGCAACTTCTGCAACCATTCCTTGACATTTCTATACTAATCGATGGCAACTTCCTCAATCTCCTCACTAATGAGTTATGATACCTGTGCTTTGCTTCTTCTACACAGACAACAGAATAGTTCCTCTTTACTCCTTCATACTTGCCACTGATATCTTTCTTTATGTGGCTTTGACATTACCTTTCCATGAGCAGCAATGGTGCTGATCTTCTTGTTGTTCACACAGAAGAAACAAATCCTGCAATTGCAAGGGTGATATTTTCCATTCTTTGTAAGTCTGAGGCATCCACTCTGGCTTAGAACCTTCATCATATGGAGCTTTCCGCCCAGTCCATTTCAATTTCAATACCTCTATTCATCAATGCAATGGCAAGATGAGATTGAAACTTTTTCCTACCGTTGTGTTTTGATTTGTATATGATCTTCCATTGCTTCATAAACTTGTCACCACATGCTAGGCTGCCTAGTGACAATTATGATGTAGCAGGAGTGTACCACTCTATCAAGCAACCAGAAGAAAATACAAAGGAACCCTCTGTTTTTTCAAAGTGATGTAGTATAATATTTTGCACTCTCCTTGTCTGAGAGGTCAACACCGCCATTGAACCTTGTGGACTGTGTCTTCTGTACCTGTGGAGCATCAAATTTCTTTGCCACCACCATTTCCCCTCTGGATCTTATCTGTGTCTCTACTTGTTGCTTACCACAAGTAACATCAAGAGGAGTATGTAACCATCCAACCACCCTTTTGTCACTCCATATTATAGCGTTGGCGCAGTTATTCCAGCTGTTTCATTTGTACATTAGGAGTGCTCAATATTCATCGACCCCCGTACTCCCCCATATCACTGAATTCATCTTTTCACTGGGATTTGATTCATGTGCTTATTATTGTTCAGAAGCCTCCATTGGAGACAAAGATATAGCTGTTTGAGTGAGTTGAACCTCTCTTAATGTTCTACATGTTTTTTGTACTGTGTGTGGATTTTGGGCTATCTTTTTACCACGTAATGACTACATTGACTAAGCAATTTGCATGTGTTTGAAGCCAAAATTGTCCTAGTTTTGCACGACTGATGGGACTCAAAAATTCAAGTACGGGTACTAGTAGTAATAGTAGTACTTCGAATTGAGCACATGCATTTTGTATGTATTTATTTGGTCAAAGTTGTCATCATTACACACAAAAATATGAGCACATGCATTTTGTATTTATTTATTTAGTCAAAGTAGTCATTACACACAAAAATATGGGACCCAAATGTAAGACTGGTTTGTACAGTGGTCCACCAACTGTATACAATAGTGGCCTGTACAAAATATTTGGAATTACTGGGCCCAGTCATTGACTAGTATGCAGCATACCACATCCTGATTGCACCTTTCCAACTGCACCATTAGAGAGCTTTGGAAATGGGAAATCTTCTGGTGCAAACTAATCCTCTTCTTTGGTCTGGACAATGTTCCAGCTGATACCCATCTGTATTCTTCATATAGCTTGGTCACAAATTTCATTGTAGTGTAGAAGTTGTCCATGTCCAAGATTGGATTGACATACCAACCACTGAATAATAGTATCCCATGTAGACCCACTACTAATGCCAGTGTAGATCTCAAATGAAATTAAGCACCCAGTGTCAGCATCACATACACCACAGTAGAGCCACCTTAATACCATGCTTGATTGGTTTCTTGGGAAGATACTGGACAAATCAAATGAATCTTCCTTTCTAAACAATCATAGACTCATCAACAGATAGGTCAACATTTGCATGCCACCCAAGACAAAGACAATCAGCAATTTTCTCCACCACCAGCACGGTCTGGATTTTTTAGAGTGGATCATCACTATGGTTAACTTGGCTCCTGTTGTCACCAAAATGAATATACTAGCAGCAGTATTGTCTAACAAAACCAAATCCGCTGTTGCTAATTGTATTCCTGACCATGGGAATATAGATCCCACCATCCTCAAAACAAGTCCAAAGAATTTGGTGTGATACTTTTGAACCACCCAAACCTGTGTAACAGATGGAAAAACCAAGCCATGCCAG